AAATAAAAGAGGAGAAATTTAGGTTAGATGTTGGGAAAAAATTCTTTACTCAGAGAGTGGTGAGGCACTGGCACAGGCTGCCCTGGGGGACTGTGGATGCCCCATCTCTGGAGGCATTCAAGGCCAGGCTGGATGGAATCACAGGCAACCCTGTTCTTCTGGTTGACAACCCTGCCCCACGGCACAGGGTTTGGAACTCAATGATCTTTTTAAGGTCCCCTTCAACTTAAGCTGTTCTACGATTTGCTGTATTTATGTAACAACCTGTCACTGATCTTAGAAGAAAATCTTATATATGCACCTTTACATATACCTAATGCCATTGCTCTTATATCTATACTTTGCTCTTTTATATATGAACAGAGCAAAAAAAAAAAAAAAAAAAAAAAAAAAGATCCTTGTAAGGTAAAAACCAATACGCCCAGTACTTAACATGTATGTTAAGTACTTTGCCTATGTTGATAGAATCTATAATATATCACCCACATTAATTTAGCAACTCATTAAAAAGAAATTAAATTTTTTAAGTCCTCAGAAATCAAGATCTGAAAACGTTTTTAGCACCAAATGAATGCTCAGAAAATGTTGTAATATTAATCAGCTTGTTGAACTAGTACTTGTGGGACAGACCACTGTCACATGAAAGGGGAATTTTGTTCACCAACAGTGACACTCCACTTGGAAATCCATAAATCTGAACTACTGTTTACAGAATGGCTTCCACTGGCATCCTATCATAAATCCTCCAAAAGAACAGTGAGCTTCAGATAACAAGTTCACTAGTAGATGTGAGAGCCTTGAAGTTCAGGTTTTACTCATGCCTCTTCACTGCATATTCTGTATGATGCTTTTGTTGGGTTACATTCTTCTTGCTTCTCTCACTTGAGGATCACTCTACTGTCTCATAAGTACTCTGCTTGTGTCCCAAGAGCTCAGAAATGTAAAGGTAGTCCCTCCTGAATGAACTGTGGTTGCACTTGGGAGAGCCCACAGTGCATCAGCTATTACAAAAACACAAAAGACTTGCCAAGTATTCAAGTTAAAAAATACCTAAAAGCTAAATTTTATTGCAGTGCAAGACTGTTAGATTTACAGATAAGAAAAGAGCACTTAGACTTCAGTTCCCTCCCCCCAAGATGCTGATAAAATAACAGCCAAAAGTACTACAGAATCCTGGCATGGCTTTCAAAATTAAGATCAAATTCTCATGAAAATTGTAACATCCTGATCTGCAGTCACGTGTATTTCCCCTTCTACTCAAGAATGTCCTTATCTTGAAAAATATTCTTACAAGAATTCTGACTTCTCTTGTGAACCAAGGCACTTCTCTGGAACAAATATTGACCCTCCTCTACCCATGAGCTTTTGAGTGCTAGTTCCTTCCAGGCAAGATGAAATCAAACTTGTTTTTGAAAAAGCCCTCTAAAGATTACAAAAATAAATAGACTGACTGGAAGAAATTTAAATCTCATGACTGGTTCTACACTAAGGCTTGTAATACTTGTAAATGGATAATCCCTTTCTAAACAGATAGAAGGAAAACATGTGGTCTGTTACTAGTTATTAGCTGAGACCTGACAGATCAGTAACAGAACCTTTGTGAGAAATTAATGGTATTGAGGCAAAGCACACAGTCAAAGCTTGAGAAAAGAATAAACTTAATGAAAAGATTTCTTATGCTGCCGTCATCAAGATGACCTCTGGGAATTTACTCAGAAAAAAAAAAAAAAAAATTAAAAAAACCCAAACCTTTAAAAATATGTACTGAATGCTATATTGCTATATGTGTGTACATGCTTGAAAGCTGATTGTAGCAATCAGGTAAGGACCTGAGGGTGCTGGTAGGTGGCAAGCTGGACATGAGTCAGCAATGTACTTTCACAGACCAGAAAGTCAACTGCTTCCTGAGCTGCATCAAAAGAAGCATAGCCAGAAGGTTCAAGGCAATGATCCTGCCCCTCTGTTCTGCTCTGGTGGGGTCCCACCTGGAGTAGTGTGGACAGATGTGGAGTCCTGAGAACAGGAGAGACATGGATCTATCTGTTGGAGGGTGTCCGGAGAACGACCACAAAACAGGATGGTTCTGAGGGATGAAATACCTCTCCTGTGAGGACAGGCTGAGAGAACTGGGGCTGTTCAGCCCAGAAAAGAGAAGGCTCTAGGGAGACCTGAGAGAGGCATTTCTGTATCTAAAGGCGGGGCTGTAAGAAAAAATGGGACAATCTGTTTGGCAGGAATAAGATATGGTAAGACATGGGGAAATGGTTTCAAACTGAAACAAGGAATATTTAGACTGGAGTAAGGAAGAAGCTTTTTACAATACGGGTGGTAAGACACTGGAGCAGGTTGCCCTGACAGGTGGTGGTCTCCCATCTGTGGAGATGTCCAAGGTCAGGCTGGAAGTGCTCTGAACAACCTGATCCGGCTGTGGGATCATTGCAGGGGAGTTGGACTAGATGACCTTTAAAGGTCCCTTCCAACTCGGATGATTCTGTGATTCTAGGTGTCAGTGGGTTAGAGTGCAAGCCTAAAGGTAGCAATCATGTTTTTGTTAGTAACTGTCAGAGCGCTTTATCGTGTTGAGGACTAGATACTTGAGGGCTTCAAAGAGTTTCGGAGCATTTGCCCCTCAGTCCCGACGCAGCATCTGCAGTACCCACCGACCCCACAAGAGGTCAGGAGGAGCATTTTAGCTCTATTTCTGCAGGGCGCTGATCCCGTTGCCTAGCGACGAGCTGTCGTGCAGCCCTTTACGGCAGCGGGGCCCTTTCTCCCGTTCCGCCCTAGGCGGCGCCCGGCGGCGGCAGTGGCGGCAGCAGTAGTGGCAGCAGTAGTGCCATGTCGGGGCCGGGGCGGGCGGGGGAGGCGGACCGGACGCTGTTCGTGGGGAACCTGGAGAGCCGCGTGCGGGAGGAGATCCTCTACGAACTCTTCCTGCAGGTGGCGGGCGGGCTGGCGGGGCGGGGCGGGGCAGTGGCTTGGAGGCGCCGCAGGGCAGCGGTCTCGGGCTGGGGAGCGGGCAGGGCAGGGCAGGGCAGGGCAGGGCAGGGCAGGGCAGGGCAGGGCAGGGCAGGGCAGGGCAGGGCAGCGCCGCGCCGGCTGGCATCCGCACTGCTGCCCACGGCCTGACAGCACCCAGCCTTGGTGAGAGCCGGCTGTGCCGTGGTCCGGCGTACCCTGCAGTCCCTGAAAACCGAGAGTTAGGTTAGCTGTTAGGGGGAATTTTTTCATTCAGAGGGCGGTGAGGCGCTGGCCCAGCTGCCCAGAGAAGCAGTGGTGCCCCATTCCTAGAGGCGCTCGAGGCCAGCTTGGATGGGGCCCTAAGCAGCTGAGCTGGTAGGGGCAGCGCTGCCCATGGCAAGGGTTGGGGCTGGGTGAGCTTTAAGGTCCCTTCCAACCCAAACCAAATGCAGTTCTGTGGCATCTTGTGCTCGTGATGTTCATGGCAGCTTCTGTTTGGCTTTGAAGGCTCGGTGTACTGCTAGGCTGAGTGGCCCCTCTGTCACCCATCTGCAAGAAGATTGCAAGTGTTAAGAGAGTAGGACAGGTGATAGGAATGTTTTTCAGGTGGGATGTGGGACTTCCACTGCTATAACCTTTATAACAAAATGTCTTCTAATGCTTGAGATGATATTCTGCTGGTGGGATCCAAACTGTTCTCTCTGTTCTCTCCCAAAACCTGAAAGGCTTGCCTTAGCGGTGGTGTATTTTAAGACACTGACTTGGCTAAAGTTTTGATTTTCTATTAACAAAATGTTTGGCTAAGCCAGGCTTACTAATCTGAAAGTGGTAAGGAAAAGCAGGTGTGTGTGGAATGGAGAACTATGTCAAACTGTGGGATGGATTAACAGCAATGGATGGTGATAAATTTCTGCTAGCCTGAAACAGTCTGTATCTAGCTTACACTAGGCAGTTCTGCCAGCAGTGTGATGATACACTTGCTTCTGCTAATACTGATTATTCCGAGTTGCAAAAAGAACTTTGCTGCCTTCTGGTGTGTTTGAAAAATAAAGAGCATAAAAAAAGAAGGCATCAGACTAATCTGCTCCATTGCTATTTCATTAATATCCATAACTATTTTTACCATTTTTATTCCATTGATTAATGTGATATTCATCATCTTAAGTAGGCGAGGTATCAGCAGACTACTCTATTTGCACTGGAAAGCCTTTTTTCTTGGTATATTCCAGCCCTGTAGCCTTTTAGCTTCTTCAGTTTCTTAGTAACTCTAAGGTTGTAACTTTTCCCCAGAATTATGTAAGAGGTAGTCATGGATGCTCCATCCCTGGAGGCGTTCAAGGCCACGCTGGATGTGGCTCTGGGCAGTCTGGTCTAGTGGTTGGCAACTCTACACCCAGCAGGGGTTTGAAATTCAAATGATCATTGTGGTCTTTTTCAACCCTGGTCATTCTGTGATTCTGTGATTTTTGTGTGCAGTATCCCTGTTTCCAACAGTAAGCAGTATTCTGTCGTTTAGCTGTAAAAGCTAAGTTAAAAATGCTCAACTTACCAGGAGACATGAGTAATTTACCATACAAATCCTGTCACAAAAGCAATGAAAATAAACAGATGTCCTCAGAATGCAGTTTTACGCAAATCTTTGTGTAATCTGCTTCACTCAATGAAATGTTAATTTTTGTCTGGGTCTTTAGATCATGCCAATAACACCTACTTAACTTTTTTCTTCTCTTCATATTCTCACTCAAGTTTCTCTGCTTTTGCTGCAATAGCACATGCTTCTCCTTGAAGTATTGTCCTTTCTTGGAAAGTACACAGATTATGTTCTTGATGTAGTTCAGCCCTTAAAATGTACTCCTGAGCTGTAGCGTTCCCCTCATGAAATTAGGATTAAATATCTACTATTAATACTTCTAAACGATTAATATTTTTTCTATTATTAGTACTATTATTAGTACTTCTAAACTATTAATATTTTTTGTTTATGAACAGGAATACTACATATTTAAGACTGATCTTCAAAGTGTTTGAGCCTGTTACTTCTAGAGCTGTTACTTCTAGTTCTTGAAGATCCAGACCTCCTCATTAGGCAAATAATGTGAAGACTGGATATATGCCATTTTTAGAAAAACTGCAGTGTAGTGCAGAACAACAGAAAAATGCCTTAGAACCAAATCAAGTAAAACCAAGCGTGTTCAGAATATCACTGAAATCCCCTCTTAAAAAACAAAGCAAAAAAACCTAACACGTCAAATTTGAAGATACTTGGAAAGGTGAAATCGACGTATTGAAGACTCTCTGCGCAAGTCAACCTAGGTAGTATCCATTGCTATATAACCTCATCCTCATTCTGCACCAATAATAAAAATGATACTTCATTTTTGATCCTTTGTCTGTATGGCTCTCTTGCTTTCATCAAGGTTGAGGTGAGAGGAGGAAGTGTTTTTCACGTTTCAGGAAGAGCATTATATTTAAGTGAGGAGTTGTTTATACTCAGATAGCATACAGCAATCAAACGTTATCACTGATGACAGTCCTTCATATCCTCAATCTAACATCACAGTGGCTAGAATCAAGGAAGATGGCTCCAAATCATCACCGCTTAGTTAATGTGTGTTTGCCTAAAGTTGTAGTTTACTTTTGACTTCACATAGAACTCAAAATTCTGTATGTTCTATGGAGTTCACTACCACTACTGTTGCCAATGCTGAGTGCTAGTTTTTGATTCAGGACAATGAATTCTCCATCTATGATGGTAATTTAGACATTCAGAAATTTTGTTACTGTATCTGAAGGATGTTGGTATTTGCTATGAAAATAACAATTTATTTGAAAATGGAGCCAGTATTTATGTAATATCACTGCTTTAATTTTGTTCTTCTAGAAGTATTGGGCAAGGATTTTAATGGTGCATGTAGGCAGAGATGGGACTTCTTTTCAATGAAGATATGTCGTGGTATATCCTGAGCTGGAAGGAACACATGAGGATCATCGCGTCCAAACAGAGCATTCTTAAGGGGGAAGAGGGAGTGGTTTTGTTCCCTGGTTTATGTTGTTTTTGTTTGTTTTTCTTGGTCAGTAACAGTACACTATCTCTGGTTAGATGATGACAGATTCTCTTGATTCCTTGTCATGCATTTGTGATAGGACTAGGTAGTATAGAAAATTAGATTTTGTTGTGGTTCCAGAAGAACTATTCTCTATTTAAGCTTGTTTTCCAACAGTTTTGATGCTTCCCACTTTTATATTCCTTAAATTCCTAGAATCAGACTAATGGATTACTTTGGTTTTACACAGCTGGTATTATCAATCTGTATAGTTGTGTTAGCTGTGCAAAAACTCTTGTAATGGTTGTACATGCAACCTGTACCTGCATGAGTTGACCTTTGTTACGGAAACAAAGGAGCCTAATGCTCCTTCTTGCAGCTGTCATAAATATCTTAAAAATAATAAAAATAATCAGATTATTAAAGTAGAACCAATCGTCACCCATGGACTGATGGTTGGTTCCAGTTTTAATATTTGTAGGGCTCCTTTTTGTTTTATAAATGCTCAGAATTTGAGAGATTTTTAAAATGAGATAATCTCATACTTGAGAAACACTGTTCCAACCTATGGCAATACATATAATCATGAAATGATTGTGATTTTTTATTTTTTTATTTTTTTTTTAAGTAAGTTCTGTGAAAAAATAACACAGATTTCTTTCAGGCTGGACCATTAACCAAAGTGACGATTTGTAAAGATAAGGATGGAAAACCTAAGTCTTTTGGATTTGTCTGCTTTAAGCACAAAGAATCAGTGCCTTATGCAATAGCTTTGCTGAATGGAATCCGTTTGTATGGAAGACCAATTAAAGTACGGTATCGGTTTGGTAGGTTTACAGTCACAGTGATTACTTAAGTCTTTTTCTAAAGCCGTTTTTTGAAGTATGTTTTTCTAAAATTACTAGTTTTTAATCCTACAAGTGACTTTCACTTGCAGTTCTGACTCAGTTAAGAGCAGCAACTATCAGCAGTTCTGACTCAGTTAAGAGCAGCAACTATCAAGCTGTTTGAAAGCTTTTGTACTAAAGCCAAGAAGCTATCAGTTTTATTTTAATTGGAAGAGAACGTAGTTAGGAAAATGCAGTCAAATCAAAGTCTTATTCTTCATTTTATGTTTATGAAAATAAACCTTCTGGAATGCTAATGATTAGGCAGTATTTGCAGTCCAAACATTGACTTGTTCCTGATCTGCACTGTGTCACTCCTCACCTAGAAGGCTGTAGAGGGCAATAATCGTTTAAGTAAAAATGGCTGAGGTTCCTGAAATCAGAAGCAGTGGGAACGATTCTGTTCATGATTATTGAACAGTCCTGATTTATGTTTCTGTAAGTGGCTGAGTGTAAATAATAAAGAAACATTTTGAAGCAGTTCATTGATGGTATAGATTGTCTGCCATAAAATGACACCTTTCCATTATATGCCAGACTTGATAAACTAGTACAGTACAGTGACAGAATACTTTCTGTGTTTTAACTTGTTAATCAAACAGTTAAAACTGAATAGTCATTACAGTCTTGTCTTATTTACAGGGAGTTCACACTCTTCAGAACTAAACAGCCCAACACATGGTTTTGAGAACTATGCTGACTTATATTCACCTTCATATAGGTAACAAAGACCTCCTGTGAATGAATTGTATGACTATAATTTAAAAATGTTAAAAGGGATGTGGTAGATACAGTAAGGCAATCTTTAGGCTCTTCATTAACACGGCAGTTGCACACTTTAATTGCATCTGTACTAATGACTTGCAATGGGTTTTAGTTAATGTTTGGTTGTTTAGCTTGCTATAGGTTCCAATAGTTAGATTCCAAATCCTAATGATTTTTGCAAGATACAGGAATGTGGAAAAATATTTTAAGTATGGTGTTTGTACTAGGAATGTTTGCAGTTCTTAGGGGAAAAGAAAATCTGGCAATTGAGATAATCATTTTCTACCCTACTGAGTTTACTTGCTGTGTGTATATATACAAGCAAATGTGATGCACACGTGAGTGTACAGGTAGAACTTGCACACACTGTTATAACAGAGTTCTGAACATCCCAATTTCAATGTTTCAGCATCTCAAATTCTATTTTTATTTTTTTGCAAGTATGCCAGAACTCTCTGTCAGGATTACTTGTTAAGTCTTTGGAAGTGTTTTCCTTGTTTTATTTATTTGTTTGTTTGTTTTTGTGGAAGTCCAGTTGTTAATATCTGCATTATTCTTTCAAATACACTCATAATAGCCCAACAGCTGAATATCATTACACTACAGGATAGTATTTGTTAGAAGCCTAGTCTTTATATGTTTTCCTGTTTTTTCCTAGGTATCAAGAGCCTTATGGAAATCCTCCATTTCCTGTTACTCCTTTTCCAATGAACAATTGTTTACCTCAGGAACACTCCATCTTTCAGAAGATGGTGAGTTTGTGATAAAAGCATGTGTAATGCATGTGAAATATAACTCTTCAAAAGTTTCTCTTAACAGTATTAACAACTCAAGTTTGTATTTCTTTAGATGAACCATTTTTTAGAACAGCAGTACGCAGTTCACAGTCCAGTGAGTCAGCAATTTCCTTACTACCAGATGACTCTGCCACTGCCTTCAAGCTTATCCATTCCTCCCTATCAGAATCAAGCTGCAAATTTTAAGTGTGGGCAGAGTTGTTTTGAGTTGGCTGTGCCACATTCAAGTGATGGAAAAGTGTACCAGGTGGATGAAAGCACGTCTAAAAGAAAGAGGGAACAGCAAAGTTGTGACAGTGACACTAGTACTGAAGATGACAGAATGAGACAAAGAGATCATGACCAAAAATACAATAAGTGCAAAGCCAAGAAAAAAAGGCATTAATACTGTAAAAGTGGATTATTTTTACTTATATTTTCTATTTTTATTTGAGAGAAATTCACTCATTGTTGCACTTTATTACAAAAGGAATGTACAAGACTCATATTAATTTTGAAAGGCATTGTGCATAAATTATACTGATACTTTATTAACCTCAACCAAGTAAAAGAAGAAAGTGTGTTAAGGTATAGGAAATATTTTAAAAGATACAGTTATCCTATAGAAAGAGAATGTCGGTAATTATGCTTCTGTTTTCCAAGAATTACAAAAGTCTGTTAGTTTGCTAATTTAGACACTGTGAAAATGTATACTTTGAGCCACTCATAAAGCATACGTATCACTTCGATGACTTGTGGAATTTACTATTGTGACTGCTTTAAGAATTCTCTGGAGCTGCTGAAGAACTGAGCGGACTAGAAATTGTAAGTGCCCTACTAAAGATTTGCTCATCGCTGGAGTATCAATGCCTACAACTTTTCCTCTTTACTGATCTATCTCTGCTCTTATGTTGCATTAGGATCAGTGTGTACACTTATTGTAACTTTTCTTTTTTTTCTAGTAATAAATGCAAGGTAAAAAAAAAAAAAGCATTTGCACTAACTACAAGGCTTACATACTGTATCAGTTCTCAAAGTGATGTACTTTATGGTTATGCTCTGACTAGACCTGCATACACTGTGGATCTTTCAATATACTCACTGTGGATCTTTTGATAAACTTAATCTCCAGTGCTCAATTTGCTTATTTGAGACTCCAGTCATTAGTTATAACAAATGGACGAAAAATAACTGAGCTTATGGCTACCAGGATGGTCAGAGGGCTGGAACACCTCCCCTATGAAGACAGACTGAGGAAGCTGGGCTTGTTCAGCCTGAAGAAGAGACGGCTACGAGGAGACCTCATTGCAGCCTTTCAGTCTAAAGGGAGCCTATGAACAGAAGCGGACCCAACTCTACTGGGATAGATAATGGCAGGACTGGGAAAAATGGTTTCAAATTGAGGAAGATTTAGGTTGGTTCTTAACCAAGAGAGTGGAGAGGAGCTGGAACAGACTGCCCAGAGAGGTTGTGGATGCCCCGTCCCTGAACGTGTTCAAGGCCAGGTGGGACAGGGCCCTGGGCAGCCTGGTCTGGTATTAGATATGAAGGTTGGTGGTCCTGCATGTTGCAGGGGGGTTGGAGCTTGATGATCCTTGAGGTCCCTTCCAACTCAAGCCATGCTAGGATTCTATGATTCTTAGGAGATTACTGCTATAGCACCATGATATGGCGCCCTTAAAATTTCGCTAGCAATTGAATTTAACTCTTTCTAGAAGGAGCTTCTATCTAAAACTTAGAAGTTCAAGCCTTAGATTTATACCACATGTATTGAGAAACTTGTTAAGTGTCCAACCACTTCTGCTTCCTCCCACACCAACACCTGCCCCTTCATCTTCCTTTTCCCCACCAGTGACTAGGATTAAGCTACGCAGGTGTGATCTCACATCTGCTGCAAGATAATGATGACATTATACCAGTAGGCCACTGATTTCAAAAACTGACACAATAAAGGAAAACCTTCAGAAGTAAAATACAGCAGATTGCTTTACAGAAGCAGAAATCGCCGCCGCGGTGCAGGTCCCGCGACGGGGAGCGATCCGCCACCAGGACGGCTGCGAGAGCCGGGGGAGGCGGAGACCGTACCGCCCTCCCACGCCTCGGCCGCGTAGCACGCACGGGCGATGCGCGTCCCGTGGCAGCCATGGCCGGCTTCTACGAGCGCCTGAGCCCCGTCGGCGGCAAGGTAAAGCCGCAGGGGGTGAGGGGGAGGGAGGAGGCGTTATGAGGTGGGCAGGTCCGGTGGGTCGGCCGCGGGGGAGCTGTAGTGGAAGACGGCGGGGCGCGCGATTTTTATAGCAGGGGCAAGCGCGTTCTTCTTGTGTGCTTATTTCTTAGGTTACCATTTAATCGTTTTGTGGTTGTTTTTTTTTTGTTTGTTTGTTTTTTTTCTTCTTTTTTTTCCACTGAAAGTACGAGGAAATTTTTGGGGGAAAAAAAAAAACAAAAAAAAAAACCAAAAAAAAAAACAAAAAAAAACCAACATATGAATATGTCAGAGCACCAGCGGCATCTAATAGGTATTTTTTTCACACCACCTATCGAATGGAACCGTAACTGCATCTCTTGTTAGCGACTGGTTTTTTAAGGTGATGCTGAATTCTTTAGCAACAGGAATCACACCCTGGGGATGCTGGAGCCCGGCCTGGCACTCATACGGGTTTCTCAAGAGGCGAGGGAGAGCCCATAGGTGTTTTCCTCCCATATGTGTTTCCCTACATCTACAGAGAGGTAGGAGTGGGCAGCAGTCTGCACAGTGCACTTGGAAGTACTCCATCCCTTACGGCCGGAAAGGAGGCTGCTGCTCTTCAGGTATTAGCAGTTGATCACTTTCAATAGCCAGGTTTTCAGTAGGGCGGGGGAGAAATCCACAAATCCACAATCCACACTTTCAGCTGTCAGAATTGTGCGTCTTGGACATGCTTTCCTGTTGGTGTAGTACTCCAGAGTGTACATAAACAGTACAAAATGAAGCTAAGTTGACACAAGCTAACACAATCAAGCTAAATCCTCTCACAGCACTGTAAGTCCATACATTTGTAGTGTCTCGTGTGGGGAAAAAAAGAATAAATATATACTTGCAATTAAATATCTCCTGAAAACAATTAACAATTGTTAAAAAAAAAAGCCAATCCTGATAAGGATTAAAGAATAAAATGAGGAAAAAATTATTTAGTATTTCAAGTGACATTAATAATTCTTCCCTTTTTTATCACTCTTTCTTCTCTTTTTTTTTTTTTTTTCTAATAACAGAAATGCAGCCCTGAAGAAAATGTTTCTTTCTTCAATAAATTAACCTATTCCTGGTTTAGCAGGTAAGAATTCAATAAACAGCTCGTTGATTTTTACTGATGCTCTCTTAGTAAAAGGGTGCACATATTCCATACCATCATTCAGACTGGATCTGTAGCCTGAACCCAAAATTGCTGTTTTCTTGTTGTATAAAAATCAAAGTTTACAATTTTTAGGGATCGTATTCAAATATTTTATAGAATACTGTTTTATGTATATATAGTATATGTAATGTATAAAGTTGATACTTACTTTATATGTTATTTAGTATCTATTTAAAACATGATTTTTTGATAGTTGGAATCAGTGTTCTTTTCACAACAGAAGCTACTTTTAGAGAACAGGATTTAAACAGCCAAATTAGACTTTCCTTTTTGATTTGTTACTTTTATTTTGTAAAAATTTGGTAATAGACAAAAAATAAATAAATAAATGAATAAATAATGGTTTTCTTTGTGCTTTATTTGCTAGATCTCCAGGAACAAATATTCAGTAGTTCATTTCAGTGCATTTATGAAGTAGCCAATGTCAGACTTATTTTCCTCTCTCTTACATGTTAGGCCAAATGCCATTACCCTTGAACCCTTGTTCAGAAAAGCCAGTAGAGTCCCTCTGCTTCTTAGAAATTAATAGGAAAAGAAGAATAGAAAAAATAGGAACTGAAAGTTCAGCTATATCAAGCCATACAGCTTCCTGTCTCTTAGTGTTTTGGATAGTAGTTGAAGCAAGCTCATGTGTTACATCTTGTGACTGTTTGTAATGTTTTTCTTGTTCCTTTTAAATCATTTGAATCACACCCACATAGAAACTGTAATTGAAAATATTTTGTGTCGTAAGTATTTATTGCTTTATTCAATATTGTTAATTTAAACAAAAGCTGAAAAGGTTATCTGTAATTTATAAGCCGAGACTGAAAGAATCAGACTGTGTAATGCATCGAGTGTAACTCCAACAGTTCAGGAGCTTAGGAGTTCAGCCATCATTTTCTGAGTAACCATGCTTTTTATCAATCACAGAATCATTAAGGTTGGAAAAATACCTGAAAGATCATCTAGTCCAACTATCAACCTACCACCAATATTGCCTGCTAAATCATATCTCTAAATACCACATCTACATGTTGCTTTAAAGCCTCCAGGGACAAGTGACTCCACCACCTCCCTGGGCAACCCATTCCTGTGCTTGACTCTTTCTGAGAAGACATTTTTCCTAATACCCAGCCTGAACCTCCTCTGGTGCAAATTGAAGCCTTTACCTCTCATCACTGGTTACCTGGAAGAAGAGACTAGCCCTCACCTTGCTACAACCTCCTTTCAGGTCATTGTAGAGACCAATAATGTCTCCCTTGTTCCTCTTCCAGATTAAATAATCCCAGTTTGCTCAGCTGCTCCCCGTGAGACTTGAGCTCCAAACCACTTACACTGCCCTTCCCTGGACGTGCTCCTGGGCTTTGATGTCTTTTTTTGTAGTGAAGAGCCCCAAACTGAACACAGTACTTGAGGCGCGGCCTCACCAGAGCTGGGTACAGGGAGATGATCACCTCCTTGCTCCTGCTGGCTGCGTTATTTCTGATGCAAGCCAGAATGCCATTGGCATTCTTGACCACCTCAGCACGCTGGTGATGCATTCAGCCAGCTGTCAGCAAATCCTTTTCCTCCTCGTAGACTTCCAGCCACTCTGCCCCAAGCCTGTAGCATTGCCTGAGGTTGTTGTGGCTGAAGTGCAAGACCCAGCACTTGGTCACGTTGAACTTCATCCCATTGGCCTCAGCTCAGCTATCCAGTCTGTCCAGATCTTTCTGTAGGGCCTTTCTCCTCCCATGTGGATGGATTCTTCCTCCCAACTTGGTGCCACTTACAAACTTATTGAGGGTGCACTCGATTCCCTCATCCAGATTGTCTGTAAAGATATTAAACAGGACTAGCTGAGGGTACCAATACTGAGGAACACCACCTGTAACTAGACACCAGCTGGATTTAACTCTGTTCACACCATTCAGCAGTTCTTGCATTCCATATATATGAAAGTATGTAGTAACCTGACTGCAACATGTTCAAATGATATTTGGTCATTATGTCACAGTGTTAACCAAGGTGTCCAAGCTGGGATATCTTGTGTGGTTTTTAACCACTTGTACAATGGTTAACGAAAGGAGAGATGTAGGGAAATATGATTTCAGTTCTGATCAATGAAAGTGTGCTTCACTGTGCAGTAATTAATGGGATACAGTCAAATAGTGTAAATGTTAGGTATGGTCATTTTTCCCAAACAGAAGCAAACACGAGCAATGAATTGTTAAGTATAAACTTGTACCTCTCTCTGAGGGACACATGGGGATAGTGAAGACCACTCCCACTCGAATTTTGTTACCAAAGTTTTTCCGAATCTTATTTTCCATCCTTTGCTAAGCACAATGGCACACACATCAGCATGAAGCCCAGCGCTGGCAGAGAGGCATACATTGGGAGTGCACTCTTGAGAAGATGGACTCTGCATCTGCATTTCAGCCCTCAGAGAGTGAAGTTCCCAGCAGTGCAAAGGCATAAGTGCTGCCACTCTCAGGTCACCCGCGCGTATCCAAGCATGAGTCTCTTGTTCCTTCTTAGCTGTTTAGGGCTTTCTCTGAGACGGATGACATTGTCAACATAAGTCTCTTTGCATTTTTTCCACCTCAGAAATGGGACATTGCTTTTCTTTGAGTTCTCTGAAATGTCTGCTCATCAGAAAATACACATCATCTATTACTCTTTGAAATGGAGTTCCTGTAGGTTCAGCGTGTTCATCAGCCCTATTTTGCCATTTTCAAGAACAATTTCTCATCTGTTTTAACAAATAAGTGAACAACAGT